TGATGTTTCACAACCCCATGCACCAATTTGTAGTTCTCGATCGCGTCTTACCTTATGGCAATGTTTCGCGTCGGGACCAAACGTTAACTGAAATATAATAGAAACAACTGGAAAATACATAATCGCGCGACCAGTGCTAAATCATGACCAGAGCAAATAGAATGAAGAAAAGTAGACTAACTAGAAAGATAGAAATTTACAAAATTAATGAAATTACTTACCAAAAAGACTGTCCTAGCGTACTCCACGTGGTGCTATTGCGCTTTCGCGCGATTACAACAACCATATTCTGAGTTTTCTTCGTCTTCCGCTGCTATCTTCAAAGACGATAAATGACTTATTGCGCAACAGTACCACTTACGAGGTGGACGTCGTCAAGGGGGTCCTTTGTAACTATTAGGGTGTTTAAGACGAGTGGGTCTCGAGTGGGTCAACTTAGACAAAATTGGCCCGAATCTATGAACAGTGTAAGGTCAGACGAACTTCTCATTTTTGTGCAAGTCTACGATAGGCCAGTAATTGTCTACTCCATTAAGTGCATCAACCTCGACCGTGTCTTCCAAATCGACGATGTCTTTACCGTTCTAAGTATTGTTTCGTGGGACTGTCGTGATTATCTCGCGCGTCCATAGGTCGACATGGATCGGATAGGCATATTGGTCCCAAAGTATCACGACTAACCTCTTCAATTCTTCTGTGGATTGATAACCGCCGAACGTCAGAGCCGTGAACGTCCTCGTATTATATTAGGGAAAGCCTAGATATTCGGCTAACAAATACGAATGAAACTATATTGGGAGCGGCTATCTAGAATTACAGTGAGTAGCTCGGTATCTGCATGGACTACCATCAAGTGCGGTTGGTGTGCGCTGTTCCTGCAAAAAAACTGATGTACAAAATGGTGGTGAATGGGAGCCTACACGAATTTGATGATGGTCCAAAGGTTCTGCCTGAGCGTTCATACTAATTGCAGGTAGATAGCAAAGGTGGCGCTGTGCACTACAGAAGTAGGGCTTAGTGATCTTCGTGCAGAAAGGGCACGTCTAGCCGGTGAAGTAGAAGATCGCCCAGATGGTGATGGCGATTTTGAAAGAAGTTGCGCGGTGACGATGCAAGTGAATTATCGAAATGCGCGAGATGGAGATCCGTGAGTTTCTCTCTGAATTGCAGTCTTGGACAATAAGATTTATCAGGCTGTCCCAGAAGTAAACTCCTATTTAAATAATTCAAGCTGCAATTGTTTTCCTATAGACTTAGGCCACCGTTTGATAGGGCGGATTAAGCTGCACAAAACGACCACCAAGGACTCGCCTAAGTCGCATTCTATGAAGTTTGAGACCAAAATCGAAAAACATTTTTACACTTAATAACTGGATTTTTGCGGAGAAAAATTATACGGACATCCAACTTGGCCACTATACAGTAGGCACATAGTAGTGCGTGCGTTTTCCGTCAAGTGCAAGATGAATGGAATTGCATATGAACAACAAAAATGACGGTAAAAGAAGTGCAGGACTCAATTCTATGTGACCTTTATTCGATTTAAATACTACGTTGCTGCACAAGTTCTGTCCGATTCAATTTCCTGAGTTCAGAATGTCATGATTTCTTCCAAAGCCACCATTTTATTATGATTCTAGATTCTATGTGTTAAGCAGTTCTTTGGCTATCAGAGAAATATTAAGATTCGCTCTCTGTTGAAGAAGAAGCAAGAACTCAAACCTTCTCAGCCTTTTTTTCAAACCTGTCTTTTTTGACATGACAACCCTTTCTTATGAGTAGAGACTGGCAAATTAGTCAGAGAAATTCTCGTAGATTACTGGAAATCTAAAAGATCCCACAGAATCTTTGTTTTTTTTACCGAGTAAAAATTTGAGCCTTTTGACCTTGTTTCAGTTCATGTGTGCGTGCTCATTTACGACTTGTAAAAATTTAACATTTGACGCAAGCGGAAAAAGTAATAGGTAAATGGGCTCTGTTGGCTCTTTTATGCTCAGCACTCCAATCTTGGACTCATCGCCTTTGTTCGCAGGAAGTTATCGCTTGTAGAACATATATACAAAAAAAAAATAATGTTCGACAGCAAATTTCACTAGCAAGACGTTTTCTTCACGCAATTGAGCTTGTGCATATACTAGCCTGTTACACCCATATCCCCATTGGAACCCAATGGAAGGACTTGATTGAAGGACACCTTGTGGAGTCTTCAATCAAGTCCCGCCTTATTCCCTTAAAAGTACATATTTCTTAGGTGAAAACGTACCTTTGCCGCCTGGCTTTGGCCTGCAATCTCGTTGGATTGAGGAATTCATCGAAATTTGATATGTATCAGGAAGAGGGAGAAAAGCGTTTTCTAATGATACAAGTAGTATCACATTAGAGTTGAAATCCTCTTAAAACAGCTGCTTAACACATAAGGTAAAAAAATCGGACAGAACTTATCAAGCAGGTAGTACTTGTTTTCACAACTAGCGTTGAAGCAGGTGTGATGCATAGTATTTCGTGGGCACAAAGCTCGTGCTCATTTTATAATCCGCGACCCTGCTCTTTCTAGACAACTTTCTATGAGAGTAAACCAAGATTATAGTTCAGCAGCGAGCTGCGCAGTGCAGAACACAACGCAAAAGGTCAGGTTGGATCGTTTCGGTCAAAACCACAGAAGAATAAATATCTCTAACTGTGGCGTTTAAGGGAGGGAGGGGGGGGGGGTGAGTTTGAGTTGCAATATTATCGATACTAGTCTGCATGAGCTAAACTTGCGCAAGTGACTTGTTTTCACTTGTAAATAAATGAAGTTTTATAGCTCTGAAAATCCAAATTAGCCTTGTGCAAATTTTTTTCTTGAGGTAGGATTATAGCCCCGCTAAAATTTTGCAGAGCATCGTGTTTTCGGTTTGTATACAGCCGCTTTCAAGCGTTCACCGTATCTATGACTTTAACCTGGTCTAGTTTGAGCCAGCGACAGAAACAGATTCTCCAATTTTATTCAAGTTCGATGTGTTGAATAGATAACTTCTGATGAGCCCCCCGTGAGATTTTAGTGTGATACAATAGCGGTGCTATTGTTTCTAACTAAGTAACTGCCCAAGTCCTGCTGCGAAGCGTAAATTTCAAAGCGATAAGTATTTAAAAAAATACCTACGAACACGTACTCGTCCGTCCCGCTCATCGTGGTAGTCCGAAAGTAATGTGCGTCAGAATGGGCCTCAAATAGCTAGGAATGTAAAAAGTATGATTTTTATAATACACTAGCTGGCTTACCCGGCTCCGCCGTATCCGGACCAAACTTGGCACACATACACTTCGGGCCCCGGCGCGTGTCACAGTCCACTTTTCGTTATCGATCGATGTCGATTTTACCGATTTTTATCGATTTTTTCGCAGAGTTCACCTACAGGGCTAGGAGTTGGCACAGGGGGGGGAAGTGAGCATGGGGATTCCGAATACAATATTAGTTTTCAGAATTATCGGTTACTTTTATTGATTTTATCGATTTTTTGTAAATTTTGACATGCGAGGCTGGGATTTTGCACAGGGGGTAATCGAGCATGCTGATTACGAACACAATATTAGTTTTCAGGATCGTCCATTACTTTTATCGATTTTATCGATTTTTTTGTAAAGTTTGACCTGCGGGGCTGGGAGTTTGCACAGGGGGGTAATCGAGCATGCAGATTACGAATACAATATTAGTTTTTGGAATTATCCATTAATTCTATCGATTTTATCGATTTTGCAAAATTTGAGCTAGGGGGATGGAATTTGGCACAGGGGTGTAATCGAGCATGCTGATCACCCCCTTGGGGATGATCAGCATGCTCGATTACCCCCCTGTGCCAACTCCCAGCCCCCTAGCTCAAATCCTGCAAAAAATCGATAAAATCGATATCGATCGATACGAAAAGTAGCCTATGACACCCGCCGGGGCCCGAAGTGTATGTGTGCCAAGTTTGGTCCGGATCGGTTCAGAAATGGAATTTTCTATTCGGAACATACGTACACACATACAGACAGACAGACAGACAGACAGACAGACAGACATACAGACATACATACAAACAGACATTCAGCTTTATATATAAGATAGTTGATAGGTGCTTATCTCCACTCCGATTCGCAATCTTGCTCCTTCACAAGCTCCTATCGAAGTCTGGCCATTCAGCTAGCTTTTACGGGGGTTCGCTGGCACCCAAGAAGGGGTTCATCATGAGTTTCAAGGATGCAAGAATTCTTAAAATTTTTTGTGCAAAGCGCTCGTTTTACTTCGCTAGATGGGTTTAGAGCTTCGAGTCTTGTTTCCACCCTCAATTTTCTGCTTGCGCTGAGCTGAAGAGGCTGGTTTTATGTGTGTTTGTTTGCTTAAACTTTCTGTTTGATATTCTTCCTTTTGAAACACCTTGATTTATTCAAAAAATAAAATAAAATAATGAAAGAGAGACTTCCGAAATATCTACACTTGAAGTGCAACCTCACTTGATGGGCGGTACGTGTCCTTTTGGAGCGAATTTCTCATTTCTTGAATTATCTTTTGCGGCGGGTCTTGAGCAATTACTAGTTGGGGGCCCGGCTATTATATAGCAATAAAACATCACCACCCTCGTGCATTCAACATTAGCTCATTACTCTTTAGTTAAGCAGAGGAAGTGTATGGCCACCGTAGGTCATGCTCTGCAAGATTTTCAAACATTGAGTAGCTGTAAGTTTCTAACCAATAAGTTTCAACACTACAGTTTGTTTCGAGCCAATCTTGTGCAATGAAAGTTGTAGGTACTTCGAATTTGTACAATCATGCTGGTGTCAGCAAATTGTGTTGCTAAAACTTCGGTGGTAATTAGTTGTAGAAGTGTTGCAATTTGCAGATGTGCAAGTTGGGTAATCAAAGTAAATTTTTTCGACAAGAGAACCATTACCCTATTTTCAGATGTATCTTATTTCGACTGGTTTTTCATCGACACTCGTATTTTTAAGCTTTTAAGCTTCTAGCAGATATAGTTCTTCATGGTTAGCAATTTGATTTTGGATTACTTCAAAGCTGGCAGCAGACACCACAACAACACATGGAAGGTTTTGAATTGATGCGATAGTCGAATAAATGACAATGGTTCCCACGTACTAAACTTTATACATCTAAGGAACATGATTATATCAGAATTCATTGTAACTTGCAACATCTCCGAACACATGACATATCTTTCCACTAGGGTTTTCCCTATCCGAGAAACGAGATCGTAATTGATGGTGTAGGTCTTGGGCACTCTAAAAAAAGCGTATAAAAAGCAGTATATTCAGTACTTACACAAATGTCTTCAACAGAATTGCTTGTAATCCTCACATACTCTTTTGGGTATGACACATGAAAAGCCTATTCATGTCTTTCGTTTAAGGCGCACAAGAAATATTTTGAGTATATTGGTGGGATGGTCATAGATGGTAGAACTATCACAAATTTACATTTTCGTGCTAAGCGAAGGAGGGGAAAATATGGGATAATTCTCGTTTTTGATTACTCGAAAAGGCTCAAGGATCCATGAACTAAAAGTAATAGTATTGCATTAGTAGTATCGTAGTGGTGCATTCAATGAGGGGAACTGAAAAGGTAATTTGATAATAGTGAGAAGCTTCGAAGTTGGAAATTTTTTCTTCGAAATCAATTCGATCTATCATCGTTTGTGGGGAAACCGCCATTTACAGTTTTTGTTGAAAACAATCCTCTATCTCTATTTTGAGCTCCGTTCGCGAATATGCTCGATTCTTTTTTTGCGAAATGTAAAACATACTTACCAAACTCGATTGAGATAGCTGTTGAGTAGAATGTTGCGCATTCGAGCTTTTCCGCTGCCTCGTTTGTCTTCCAACTTGTATTCGGAGTATCCTAAGATTTGTTATCTAAGGCCATTCCGAAATAAAAATATAAGTGGTGTACCAACCAGGCAGGCAGTGTTCGAGGTTTAGCCGGTAGACCATTGTTTCTATGCAATGGGCATCACCTTGACATGCGGTCAGTAATTCACATCCGAAAAACATTCCTGAAAAAGAAAGTCAATTATTGTTTACTAGAGCTCCCGAAACATAAGAAATATGGAACTTTTGTTCCAAACAAAATGAGTTCCTCAAAAAGCTAACACGTTAGACACCCAGATAAAAATGCACGGTTACAGCCGTTGCTTATAGCTTTTCATTCTCCCTCATACTTTTTCACATCCCTCCCTCCACGGTTCCATTCAGCTACACAGCCACCCCTGCACATGAGAGCGTCTCGACGAACTTTTTGAATAGTTTTCAATGCGTCAAATTATTTCCACACCAAGTACGCCAGGTTCTTGTAGCGGAAGATGCTCAGATACTAACTCTGAGAGCGAGCTTGATAGTTACTTTCACTACGCTAAAACTTGCGCAAATTACGATTTGATTCTAACTAATATTATGCCCTTGAAATTTCGAATAAAATGACTGTACATCATCATTAAGCGTAACAAGAATCACAAGAATCGGTAACATGAAAGTAAGCCATTGGCCCTCTTTTTCTTGAGCTTTCTTACAAAACATGTAATATGTTCCAACCTGAATTTGGTGGAAACTTGATTTCAAATCATTTCAACACCTTCGACCTTACCTTGTGCATTGGCGTTGGCGAGAAGAACCGTTGCAATTACGAGAAGTGCCAGCATTTTACCACGAGTAACCTGTAAGATCATATTGTGATAACTATCTTCACATTTCGTAAAACAATCGCGATACGCGGCCAGGAGAAAACATAGTATCTTACCGGCATTCTTCAATTGTTTGATTTACGTAAAAGAGTAGAGACAAAAACGGTTGCAAATATAGAAGACGGATGAGACAGAACAAAAGGCTTTTTTCCACCAAAACTTTTCATTTCGCGAGGGCCGTCGTACGTTAGCACATCATAGCCGATGAAATTTAAAAAAATCGAGAAGCATGAAATTATATCATCGCCACGATAGAGGAGAAGGTAAAACACAATCACGCACACTGAGCGATGATAAAGGTTAAGCAGAAGTTGAAATGAAGTTGAAATTATTATTACTTAAGTCCAAACTATACAGTTATTCGTAAGTGTGTTATCGGACAAAAAGTTCAAATATGCAGGCACCGTCCATAAAGATTTTTGATTTCCATGTCTTGATGGTTCCGGGGCCCTCGCATGTCCCTGATTCTGAATATGAAGTCGAGAATCAGCGAAGACCCCAACAGTGCCCGTTTCGGGAATCCGCAGGCCTGTTTTCCGGAACGCTGTTTGGATGACAGCACACTGGTGGGAGGGCATTACTGGAGGGAGCGGTGCCTACTTGAAATCCTCATGCCTCTTCGCTATTTCGAAGCGACATTTGAGTCGCGATTTGGTCATCGGCTTGATGGTGGGTCCTACTATCTCCTGCCAAAAGCTCAAAACCCCCAGTTTAGGGTAGACGGTGCTTTTGAAATGTAATTTAGTCTATGCAGTATACACGGTATGATAGGGGATTGACTTCCCTCGCTCAAAAACTCGAAGGATTTGGCAAAGTGCGCCACAAGACCTCCTTTCTCGTCATTTCGATGGCACTAAATCACAAGAGCTCATTCGGCATAAGAATGCTATTCAAAGGAATTACCTGTGTTTTTTAGAGCATAGAAAATTAGAAGAAACGGTATAAAAATTTTGTAATGTTACTTCAGACTTCTATTTTGTGAATTACGAAGATACAGACAGCATGCTGTGAAAGTTAACTTTTACATAATTTTACGATATTGTCGAGTGATATCTTGTGTAGAAACAGTGTTGTTATCTTTTACTCTTACATCCAAAATAGAATTAAGACCTGACACATACAAACTAACTTATGTATTTCAAAGAGATGAAGTATCGTCTTTGCTTCAATAAGAACCAAGAATGACAGTTCAAAGAGAGATTATACGTCAAACATGTAATTCCAATTGTCCAAGACCAGTCAAAACAGCTTTGATGTAATGTATTGCTTACGTGAGGATGAGTATCACAATGGAAGTGGCAAACTTCGATTATGTAGAAGATGTGCATATGACATTTTTGGTTGTTTTCGATGTCGCTTCTAATTTATCCAGGTGAGGCAAAGTAAAGGGGAAAAGAGGATTTTTTCATTTAAGTGAGTCAGAAAGAGAGCTAGATTTCTAATTTCTCAAAGATAATCGAAGTAATGGTTATTGAGTTATGAGAAAGTAGTTGAAGTTACTAAAAAATATTGAAATTTGCCTGGAGGCAAAATTACCAGATTGTATTGTCACAGGGGCGGGCATAGCACCTTATAAAAAGTCGATTACATTGCTTTTCACTACATCGAAAAGGTCTCTCGCAGCTTCCTCGAGTGGATCAAATTCCCTTAAAGCAAGTCAGAAGCAGGTCAAACTTGAAGTACGACAAGGCTAGCATAACTCTTTCTGTAGTACAACTTCCTCGTAATTTAATTGTCTGTGAAAGGTTAGACAAGAATATACGGATATTTTTAGTCTATAAGCGGTGTCCGTGCAAATCGGAGGCTCAGAGTTATCATTATTCTTATTTAAATATAGAAATTAGGGCAATGTCTGAGGAAAAGCGTCACTTCGCGGAATACTGCGTAGACGAAGTGATACACACTGATAGCCCAATCGAACTCATGTAAGAGATAAAAATGCATATATTTATGTTTGGCCTGCTTCAGGTTTTACATTATTTTGCAACGAAACGTCTATAAACTGTTGGATTCATAAACTTGTGTTTCGACACTGTTATTATTGACACTTAGTTTGAGCATTACTGTGCTTGGCCTGAAGAAATTACGAGCAAACGAAACAACGATATTGTTGAAAAAATTCAAGTGGTCTTCTATACAAGTGACCATATCAGTGTAGGAAAATGACATGAATGCAGATGTGGACTTGTAAGTTCACTATCAAAACTCCTGACTCTACTTAGCAAGGGTCATCAATGCCACGCATTGGGACGAGTGGAGGAGTGGTACGAGGCGTCGCTATGACCAGATAGGACACAGGTTCGATCCTCGCCCCTGGGCCAACCAAGCTCTCCACCCCTGGGGGCGGTAAATTGGTACCACCTGCAAGTTACTGTAATAGGCACGTATGCACGTTCATCCCCGCTGAGGAGGGGAGGGAGTCTGGGAGGGGATGCGTCATCTCCCTACTCTAGGTATCTTTCTTCTTCCTTCTCTATCTTGCCTATGAAGGTTCTCACACCCTAATACCTGCCCATAATTAATGTCAGGTTACTGGCATAATTGATTAGATTTTCACTATTTTGATCCCCTGGAGATAACCAGGGGCTCAATAGTGATGATCTCAAGTAACAACAGAATTTATGAAGAAGAAGTCATGACTTGTTGAAACTCAGAAATCTATTTTTTTAAGGTTTTTTCTAGGGCTTGGCTTTCGGCGATGTTTCAAAAGACCTCTACGGCTAAGGTTTCAATGTTTATCTTCTTGGATTCCAAAAAACGCTGTAAATTTGTACTATGGATAGACCACGACACTACTGAAAATGTTTATAGTAGAAATAAGTGAAATTTAAGGGGATGAGTGGCGTAGTGGTATGAGGCGCCGCTATGACCAGATCGGACACAGGTTCGATCCCCGCCCCTGGGCCAACCAAGCCCTCTACCCTCCGGGGCCGGTAAATTGGTACCAGAGTAATCTGGGAGGATAAAAGCACTGACTTGGAAACGGCTGGCCCCCGCAAGTCACTGTAATAGGCCCGCACGCATACAATTGCCTCTTCGACTATGAAGTTAGTGTGTGCGTTCGGCGCATGCCCCCAGAGGGTATTGAAGACGCCGAATCCTTTATCCTTTTTATCCTTTAAGTGAAATTTCAGGATATTGAAATCTTCTGTAATTCCTAGCTCGCGAGCTAGGGATCATCGAGGAATTCACAATCTTCAGATTCCATTTCTCCTGTCAAAAACATGCTTAGCGGTGCCGTAGTATGTCCTCAGTACAATTTTGCAGCGTTTTCATTGACTTCTCAGAAAGATAAATCCTTTCAAAATGAGAGGTGATTCCCAGGCGATCCTCTGGGGATTCCCTGGGGATCACACGAAATGGTAAAAAACCGATCTTGTATGGAAGTAACCTGGCATCAACTACGCGCAGGTGTAAGTGTATGAGAACCTTCATAAGCAAGATAAAATAAGGGAAAAAATGCGTAGAGAAGCGAGATATGACGCACCCCTCTCAGATCCCTTCCCCTCCCCAGCGGGGATGTACGTGTACGAGCCTTAGGCTCGCACGCATACAGTTGCCTCTTCGACTATGAAGTAGTGTGCGCTCGGCGCATACCCGCAGAGGGTATTGAGGACGCCGAATCCTTTATCCTTATTGCCTCTTATTTTGATAATAATTCTTATGTTGTTTTTGAGCTTTGCTACGGAATTGGGATAGAAAAAAGTCATGAGATAATCTGACAAGCGATGAGCGGAGTAAAAATGAAATGTGAATGACAATATGAGGAAAAATGATGAATCATGACCGACCTGAGGCATTAACAAAATCAGCCCTGTACTTGGCTCAGAGATTTAGGTTCTTCTTCTAATGAATAATGACTGTAAAAGCTGCAACTAATTTGCCTGAGGGCGAGTAATTAGCCTAGCAAAAACATCATAGCGTTTCTCCTGAATTTCCTTGATGAGGAACTTCTCGCCGCAGTGATTGGAAAAAGAATACTCATATCAAGTTCCAAATCTTGCATTGGGACATGAATTATCCAAAAAACCAAATAGCGGGTAAAATGGGGAACTGATGCAATTATACCATCAGTTCAGGCAATATAATAAGTAGTTGTAGTTTTATTAATTGGTTCTATAAATCTTTAAAGGTAGAGTAAAAGCTCAAAAACTTCAATGTACTTGAAAGTTTTGATATGGAGGCAACAACCACTGTGCTGACCAGAAAATCAAAGAGATAAACCCCAAAAGGGGTTACCGGTTTCTAGTTTGAGTACTCCATTTCATTAAGCTGTCCCAAATTGGGTAGAGAGAGGGAGAATGGAAGAAATTTTCAGAACCTAAGAGGAAGCAAGGTTATAGAACTTACTCTAGAATTCCATAGTCATTTGGCAAGCTAATATGATCTATAATCTAGTAATCTACAGCGTTTTGATTTGTAGTTTTTTGACTTTCCATGTAATAATTACTCCGGAATTTTGAGACTACTGATAGTTTGACTTCCTTTTTCTTTTTTTGGCGTACTTCAAGTGCAGTTAATAGATAAATGAATAAATAAATAAATAAATAAAATATACACTCAAAATTATGTATGGTGCAGTAACTGTGAAGTAATGAACTGAGGTCAAGACTGTAAAAAGACACTTGTGATTTTTAAGAAGAAGAAGAGGGAGAATGTCTTCTCTACGACAAGATCAATGAGGCCACTTGTGTAGCTAGATATTTACTTTGAAATGCATGTATTTTCGTATATCAAATGGATGGGACATTTTGTCAATTGTTCTATAAATATCCTACTAAGAGTATATGCTTTAAAATCTACGTATTTGATGTCTACTTGTATACATTGAGATGACGGTCGACAAGCAGTTCACAGATTTTACGAAAAAATAACTCGTACTTCACAGCCACATGAGGATTTAGTTGGAGGATATATTTAAAAGAGAGATAAGTCCCAAAAAGGATTACTCATTAGTTCGCACACTTTTCTTCATTACACTGTCC